TTGGGGAGATGTTTACAATAAGTAAATAACAAGGTAATGTTAAACAGAATTAGATGCTATAAATTAAAGAAAGTATTTCATCTGTCAGTAGTTATTACTGAGCATTGGGGGTCAGATCTAGATAACCATGGTAAAGAACATTCTTTTGGTAAATTTTCAGCTGATCATTTGGATTTTCTAAAGATGATCCTAAAATCTCTGAACAGTGTCAGTATATTTTTACCAGTATTTATTCCTTTGATAGAACTTTGCCAGAGTGTCACAAAAGCCATTTAATTTCAAACCTGTGAACACACAGATCAACAAGATAGCAAGTAAGGCACCATTTTTTTTAAAATTTCCCTGTATAAGATTATATATATATATATATGTTTTCACCCATATTGTCACATGAAGATTTTTATGAATATTTATATTTCTCCATATTAATATTTTTGATTGTTTTTTTAAAAATTTCTTGGTTTTTATCACATTTTAAAAATTTATTTTAATTAGGTATACATGACAGCAGAATGTATTTTGATTCATTGTACACAGTTGCAGCCAACTTTACATTCCTCTGGTTGTACATGATGTAGCATCGCACCATATGTGCAGCCATAAATGTACCTAGGGTAATGATGTCCATCTCATTTCACCATCTTTCCTACCTCCACACCCCACCCTCCCTTTTGTCCCATCAAAGTTCCTCCATTTTTCCCATGTCCCCCCCACCCCCCCACACACCCCGTTTTATGGATCAGCATCCACTTATCAGAGAGAACATTCGGCCTTTGGTTTTTTGGGATTGGCTTACTTTACTCAGCATGATATTCTCCAACTCCAGCATTTACCTGCAAATGCCATAATTTTATTCTCTTTTAATGCTGAGTAATATTCCATGGTGTATATGTGCCACAGTTTCTTTATTCATTCATCTATTGAAGGGCATCTAGTTTGCTTCCACAGTTTATCTATTGTGAACTGAGCTGCTATAAACAGGATTTGGGGGGAAAGGCACACTCATTTATTGCTGGTGGGACTGCGAATTGGTATAACCAGTCTAGAAAGCAGTATGGATATTCCTTAGAAAACTTGGACTGGAACCACCATTTGACCCAGCTATCCCACTCCTTGGTCTAAACTCAAAGGACTTAAAATCAGCACACTAAGGTAACGCAGCCACATCCATGTTTATAGTACCATTTATTTTTTAAACTGCACTTAACTATTTCAACAGAAGAGGGCAATCTTGAACCAAGTAAACAAAACAAGGCACAGAAAGTACCTTCACACAGCTGCCAGTCAATTTTAGTCGGGAAATGCTTTGTATGCACAGGAAAAATAAGTGCCAAAAAATATTCCCAATTACTATGAAAAGAAAACAGTGGAGCAACACCTTTCAGCTGATGGAAATACTCCCCAATAAATCAATCATGAGGGGGTAAAGCTGCAATATAACACTAACCCATGGACTAAATATCGTTTAAAAATCATAATTTCAGAGTGGACATAAATAGCACTCCCCCCAACACACACACACACACACACACACACACACAGACACACATACACACACACCACAATGGAATAACACCATTGGCTGCCCAGTCTTGGAGACTTGGAGTCATGCTCATATCAGGAGTCACAACACACACACACACACACACACACACACACACACACACACACCCCTGCACTCACCTGGTGGTTAACCTTCCCTCTCAGCCTGGACTATGCCACAGGCTGTCCTGACTGTCCAGCTGGCAGACAGCCTTTGCTGGAACTTCTTAGCCTCCATATCCACACATGGTAGTCCCTCATGAATTCTCATTAACTCTCTCTCTCTCTCTCTCTCTCTCTCTCTCTCTCTCTCTCTCTCTCTCTCTCCATCATTGTTAGCCATATCTCAGATTTTCTTCACCAGTTCATTTTTAGATTTTTTTGGACCGGAACTTCCAGACATTCCTTTAGGTTAAAGGGGACAGGTAGGAAACTTGAAGTCCTTGTTCATGCAAGTTGCTCTCACTCTTGAATACCCACAACTTGTATGGACAAGACAGTTGACTTTCATAATGTTTTCCTCAGAACTTTAAAATAAGGTTCTTTCTTCTTGTAGGACCAAAGAGAAACCTGAGCTCAATCTGATTTTTATTCCATTTTATAAATTCTATGTCTTATAACTCACGATGCTTTTAGAATACTTTCTTTTTTCTTTGATCCTCTATAATTTTGCCAGGGTGGAAATATGATTGTTTTTAATTTCATACGTATTAAGGAACTTCATTCCTTCAATTCTTTCTGTTTTTATCCCTGAAATGTCCATTAATGAATGTTGGAATTTCTTATACTACCTCAAATGACTCTTAACCTTTTTAAGTACTTTCTATTGCTTTGCCTTTCTATTCTTTTTTTTTTTTCCCTAGAACTCCAAAACTCAATCTTCCAGCTGATCCTCAGCTGTGTGCACTCTGATACTCAGTCTATTTACTGATCATTTGTAATAACTAAATTAATCCCAGAAACTATAAATGAATCTCTTAGTTCCCTGGCCTTATTTTATGAATGTTATTAATCTTATTATTTACATGTTTAAAGTCTCTTGTTTGACCTAGTAACTCAGCTGAGGTTGATTTCCTCACTATATGAAGAATGTTGTATTCTTCACACATTTGGAAGGTCTATGTGATAGGCTTATTTTTTCATTCAATCCCCTCATTAGGGGGCCAGTGCATGCACTTTAGGGGTTTCCACAGCTGGCCTTCACAGTTTGGGAATGGGAGGGACTGGGTGTGCTCTTAGACAAATGGCAATGGCTTCAAATTTTGCATGGAAACTTCTCTCTGATATTGCCTGGCTACTGCTATTGCCACCTTATAAACAGCAGCTTCCTGAGTCCTCTATCCACAATCTTTAAGAACCAGCATTCTCTAGACTCTACTCCACCACCCAGAACTTTACCTTGAATAAGTTTTTAGCCTTCACAGTTCGCATATGTAGGTTTTAAAAATGGAAGCAAATAATCCTTTATGTTCTTTACTTCTATTTGGAAAGATAAAGTAGTGGTTATCTCTCAACTGTAAGACATCCAGCCAGACAGCCTGGTTCAAATCCAGGGTTAACTATTTGCTTCCTGTGTGACTTTAAGGCAATTACTTATCATCTGTTCACTGTGAACAATAATAAAAACTTACTCCTCAGGATAACTGAGAGGATTAAATGTGTTATTGCCTATGAAGGTTTCTTTGACCAATTTTGGCACTCAACAAGACCATGGTATTAGGTGTTACCACTGTTCCAACTCAGAGATTTCATGGCTGGAGTTTATTCAGAGTATTGAAACTCATCCATGCCTGGATCCAACATTTAAAAAGAAAGAAAGAAAGAAAGAAAATCAGTGCTAACAGAAAGAGTTACCGCTGCCAAAAATTTTTAGGCACAGTGAGAATTTTAAATAAGAAATTTATCTTTTTTTACTTTGATTATAAACTGAGGTCATATTTTTACTGAAGGGATTTCAATGGTAGATTTTTGAGTCTTGGCTGTATTAGATTCACTCAAAGCAACATGCATTTAATTTTAGTTTCTGTGATTGTTTCCAGCATGGTGCCAGGTATTGGGAATTTAAACATAACAACACTCACACACAGAAGTATGTCTGAAAACAATTTTCTTTTGTATTTTCACAGAAGACCAATTTGACCAATATGAAATTATTTAATCATGTATTTTCCCTTCATACTAGGTTTCATTGTGTTCAGACACTTAACCAAAAACAAAAACAAAAAAGTGTTTGAGTTCTATCTGCTTTTTTTTTTTTTATCCTTTACACATAAACTATTTTCTTTTCTCCTTAGGTACTGATAGGATGATTGTTTTCTCAATCATTTGTTTTTCAATTTTCTTGGCATGTCCATTTTTTATTACTTTTCTTGGAAATCAAAGGTGTAATCAAACAACCAAGAAGGTTTTCTTACATTATGTCTTTGATTATTGAATCCATGCCAGTAATCCGCTTTCTTCCTCAGAAACACCATAATTCTTGGGTTTACTTTTTATTCTTTCTTTGTGTCTACCAACTTCACTCCTGTTATTTCTTGTATGTTCTAAGAACTTGAATGTGCCCTATTCATCACTAAATTTTCCAGTGAGCCAGTTTCGCTCCTTGACGGCCTTTAAAACCTATTTAAATTCTTCTTGTGTTTTTTATTCCCCTGGCAGTCTTCTAATATTTCAAGAGCATTTATCTAATCTAATCCCATAGATGCCTGGTCTATTGAAATACTGTTAAGCACTCCAAAAAGTTTTCTAAAATTTTATTCTGCTTCTTGCTATAAATCATTCTTATGAAGTCTCCTTTTTGTGTCTATATCATGATGTATTTTTTCTTACCATTATTTTTTTCATAATCCTATATTTTTCCCCATAGTTTTCACCTGGATTATGAGATGATCTACTCAGAATGTTTGTGTGTCAATAATGGGTGTATGGATTTCTCTCAACCCCACTGTTGTTCATCTGAATGCTTTTGAAATCTTTTTCACCCGTCTGTAGCTAAAACTTTGATGCACATGATAGATAACATTACTTAGAAGGAAAACCTGTTGTATTAGAATGTGACAACTTGCAAATTAAGTCTATAGATTTAATATCCTCAGTTAGAAATATGCATGAATAGGAATTTATTTTGTTATTTTTATTGAGTAAGAAGAAAAAGATTTGGATTATTTAGATTGAGTGCAAAGACTAGGATAAAAAAATGGACTTGGGGAACCAAAAGCCTAACATGAAGAATGAGGATGAAGAATTCACGTGAAATTCATCTTCAATCTTCATGGAACAAAGAATCCACTGAGGCAGCTGCACAGATTCCTCGTTCTGCTGTCCCAGTTGGACCTCTGTTTCATGTTAATGATGTTGTGATTTTGAAGATGCCATGCATGCAAAAGAAGTAAACAGCAATTAGGAATGGAGCAACATGTTCTGGCTTGCCCCAGCTCAAGGAAAAAAGTGGGGAGGAGTTTGAGGGGAGAATATTTATTCAACACTGTAGGAAATCACAAGGAGGACTTGCGTCAAGATAAAAGAGAACACAGAGTATGTTTACTGGGATTTTAGGGATTCTGGTCTGTTTGCACAGCATCAGTGGGCCTGTGGGGGCCTATCCACCCATGGTCCTCTTGCCAGAATAGTCATAGCAATAAGAAAGCGATTGTTTTGTCATCTTCATTACCTTGTTTGTTTTATCAGTCAACATTGCTGGATGGAGGGGACCTTGAACTGAAAAGCAGAGGAGTTTGTCCTCCTCGTGATTTTCATCTCGTGGGTTTTCTAGCAATCACAGCAACCTACTGACTTGGTGCTCTTTCTGCCTCCGGCTGCCATATTGCAAGGTCAATCTTGCTGGTTCAAGAAAAGCAGAGAAAAGAAAGTTCCTTCATGCCTCGAACCTCCCCACATCACCAGTGAGTGACAGATTGTTCTACTCCATCAAAAGTTTCCACAAAGAGAAGACTGCAGGGAGAGAATGGAGTTTGTCTCTCAGAGCACAAAGAAGTCCCAAGGTGCCTCAGTCTGGCTGGGCAAATAACCAGGAGGTGACAAGCAACTTGTTGTGGCCCTCAACACCAAGGGATGGGGAGGAGGCCAGCATCGGGTCATGTAAAGGTGACCTTCCTACTCCTAAGTTAACTGCCACAGCCACCCTTAACCAGCACAGAGACAGATGGGAGCAGGAGAGTCACAGGCATGGCAATAAAGCTGGACCACAATCCAAATCACAAAAGAGACTGACAAATCCCTACAGTTGGACATGGCAGTGGTCATTCAGGGCCTTTCGCTAAGGGAGATCATGAACTCAGAGAGCTCTTCAGGAGAACAGAGTGGGGAGGGGGGGTCTGGGGTCTGCACACTCAGGTGTCATACTTCCAGTGACCTAGACCTCAGTGTGAACCCAGCAGACATCCTAGGAAGGATTCCACCTGCATCAGCCCAGGCACAGGACTGTTCCTACCAGTAGCATCACCAGGCAGAAGGCCCTCTGGAAGAGCAAATAGGTCCCTGCTGCCAGAGAGCAGGGAGTGGGGAGCCCAGCTGCCCACTACAACACATTGGGCATTTGGCAGCAATGAACTACAGATGGGAATTCTCTAAGGAAGGGCACGAAGAAGAGACAGGGGAAGTGCTTCATGATACTCTAGCAGTTTTGATAAGAAAAACTGAGACCAAACTTTTTAAAATCCTCTTATCACTTTCCTGGGTCAGTGTCAAAATCACAAAACAAATATTCTCCCGCTGTATGCAGAGTGAGTGCTGGCTGGGGATCCACACATCCTTGAGCTACGGTTTAAATACACCCCCAGATGCTATTTTCTCCCAAGTGAAAAGACCTTCCAGGACATCTTCCATGCAGTGGAAGAAGTAAGAGGAGGAGGCAGGGCCTCTTGCCCAGCAAGGGCCAGGACCATAACTGCCCTAGAACAGAGCTGAGTTTCCCAAACACATTCCAAACGTTTACTCTTGCTACCCCCATGTTGAAGTGGCTTCTGAGTTTTCCATCTCTGAAAGGTACTCTGTCAATGAGCTTTCAGAATTCCTTCATAAGGAGGTGGGTATCTTACATAAAATCAATACCATTCGAAACTACATTGATCAGGTCACAGAGGGTGAATTTATATGCTTGAAAGTCGCAGGTAGAAAGGGAGAGGGAGTCAGCAAGGGCCCTTCATTAGGAACAGACAGATGAAAATCAGCTTCAGGGTGAAAAAGATCAGGACAAACTCCGGCTGATGGCTGGGGGAGGCAGCTCGGGGCTGGAGCAGGATGCAGTCAGCTCTGGATAGCAGCAAATGCACAGGTGCCCTCATTACACAGGGGAAGGAAGACCACTGCCACTTTCCTCCCACACCCCAGTGCTGGACAGTGGGTCCCTTCAAGGACTGCAGACCCTGCCACAAAAAAGAATGGTCTGGGTTTTGTTGTGTCTGATGAAAAAGAGAAAAGGCCTGTTGGCGTTGAACTCCACCCAGGACGGCAGTGACTTTTCCATGCCAACCACCCCGCTGGCTGCCGCAGCCTGGGTGCCATTTTCATCCACCTCCACGAAGGTCTTGTGCACAATCTTGGACAAGTACAGATTGGTGCTGGGAGAGATTCCCGAGAGGTCAGCCTTCGTCTCATCAAAGATATCCGTGATACCCATGTCTTGCAGAATGGAGTTGAGGTCGTAGCTGTCTTCCAGGGTGAACTGGGGGAAGGAGATGGCTACTTTTGCTTCTGACATGTTTTCTGAGCTAGTCCAGGCCCTGAGTTTTTCATAACTTATTTCCCTTTCAAGCTACAAGAGTAAGAAAATAACATTAAGGATCAGACTGTAAACCTGCAAAGAATACCCCAATTACTTCAAAGTGCCTAAGACCATTTGACAGTCAGTTACAGACACACTTCAAGGTCTTTCTATAACCCTCAAATGGTCTGATTTCATTTAAAACTCCTCCAAGGAAACCTCTTTCCTCTCTAAAAGTTACAGGACAATTTGGGTTCCACTGTGCTCTGGTGCTGGACAGACTCATGTTCAAAGACCAGCAAAGCTCAGCTGGGCGAGCCTGAGCAAGCCCTAACATTTCACAGTTAAATTTCCTCTTCTATAAAACAGAGATAAGACGTTTATGCTCTCTCAAGGATTGAGAAAAATAACATGTGTGAAGTATTTAACAAAGTGCTGGCACATGGTAAATTCTGAATAATCGTTGTTACTGTGATTGTGATTACTATAGTAGTATTTCTCTCTCACCTTTTCCCTCATCTATCTTTTTACCCCAGGGTAGCCTCCCCAGCCTGCATTAATTCCTTCCTTAAAGTATTTTTGTCAAAGTGTTTGCATCCAAAAACACAATGCAGTTAGAGAGTCTTTAGTTGCTCTACAGCAAAGTAGTCTAAGGAAGAGACCAGAAGTCAGCATACGCAGGGAAAAACGGAAAGCTATTTCATTTGTGACAGTTCTCAAGTGACTCAGCACTCAGATTCCTTGGTGGGGAAAAATGATTGCAGAAGGCTACGATTTAAGAGATGACACTTCTATTTCAATAGTTTCGGTGTGCATTCTTTTGGCTTAAACAAATAAGAAAAGATATCTAATCTAATCCAAATCGTTGTAAGTCTTCAATATCTCTGGTGGCTAAGATACCATTCTTTCTCAGGTTGGTGGATAATAATAGCATTGTTCTCCAGGGATCTGCAGGTGAACGCAGTACAGACATGAAATGCAGACTCACCTCTTTCAGACCCTTCATGTTGTCTGCAGAGCAAGGTGGCAGCAGGACGAACATGCTGACCTTCCCCGTGGTGTACTTCATCTCCAGGATCTGTGCCTGCAGCTCCTCTATGAAGCCGATTCTAAAGGTGCCCTTCTGCTTCATCATCTTTACCGTCTTCTCTTCATTCTGTGGGTGACGAGGCAGGAAGTCACAGTGGGCCATGTGAGCTCACAGACCCCATGGTCCCAACTTCCCTGAGAACAGGGCTTCTTCAAGATGAGAAGAGTCTGTTCCAGAAGTCCCAACCATGGCAGCAAGCCCTCCTAGGAGAGCCTCTGTCCATGGAGCAGTCAGTCTTTCCTCTGCCAACGAGATCTTCCTGTGTTTTTAGTCAGTTCTCAAGTCTTTTGTGGGTAGGCTTTCTATCCAGACACCTCCCACAGCCTCGTCAGCCAAAGCAAGCCCAGCAAGCCCCCCATCTCCTAGGCCTGCTCCGACCCAGCCCCTTGGTCTCGTGCCACCGTCCCCTCTGGCCTGGTCGACCCCTCCACAGCACCCAGAGGACCCATGGCTAAATGGTAATCACCCACATATTCAATAACAGCCCCAGGTCCACAGTTTCCTTCAGAGGAAAGGGCACTACCCAGAGCACCTGAGCCTCCCAATAACCTTGAGGTGGGGAAGTCAGCAATCTAGGACACAGAGGGGAAAAAACTGTCCCCGATAACAAAGCAAAACAGCTAACCGGTGGCTGGCTGCCTCATCTCATCCCAGTGGCTTAGAACATGGGTTTGGGGGTAAACACGGAAGTAACTCTTAATGCATGGCTGAGTAACTTGGCCTTTGCATTTTTCCTTCAATTCCTACATTGTAATAGTAGCATCCACTTCGCAACGTCATTTTGGAGGACAGATGAAATGATGAACAGAAAGCAGACAGTGCAGCACCTGGCACAAGAATGCTCAAGGAACTTCAGGTGCTGACTTTGGTAAGCCCTGAGTGCTAGGATGGTAAATGTGAGCTGCAATTCCGAGACCTGCAAACCATTGTTAGGGGACCACAAACTGCAAACCATTGTCAGGGGAAATCATGAATGGAATATCTAAAAATCTACAGGCTGTCGTACAAGTACCTCATTCAGAAAGAAAGGTTCATCAACTGTGTTGTCACAGTCAAAACGTTGTTCCCATTTGGCCTTGAAGTACACGGCATTCACCAACACCAGCACAGTCTTGTCATTGATGGTGTCCTTGCTGAAGAGTTCCTTGATTTTACCTAATAGAGATGCGCCAGAGAATATCCTGAGTGTGAATTATGTCATAAGTCTTCATGGAGACAAGGATATTTTAATGCATCTTAACATCCCCAGAGTTAGAGTGTCTGGTTCAAGAGCTGACAAGAAAACAAAGTGAGGGTGCTGCAGGTGGAGAAGCAGTGCAGGTAAAGAGGGGTGAGGAGGAGAGGAACCCCCACTCTGCCCTGAAGGAGGATCCAATCAGACTAAGGACTCTCCTCCAACTCTCCACTCCACTTTTAATTGGAATTGTCATCAGGTAGCTAATTCCATGGTTCATCTTTCAAGTTAGAGATCCGACCACCTGACTATTTTGGAGTCTCCTTGAGAAAACAGCTATGGTATTAACTGCCTCTTTCAAGCTCTCGTCAAGGTGCAGTACATACGGTTACACTCAAACAAATACACACAAAACGTACTAGGCCTTGATATAAAGCCTCTTTTGTGGGGACTTTCACAAGCCTTCTTTCAGTTCGCCCCACATAAGCCATGAGAGGCGGGTACCGTTATCTCTTCTTTATGGAACACAGACTGCGGCAATGAGAGGTGATACCCAGCAGCCAAGAAGCAGCAAGGCCACCTAGACTCAGCCCTGACCTCTTCCCTCTGTTGACCCACAGTAAACAGCCCTGGGGATGACTAGGAAAGCCCCACGCTGTCAGGAGCAGCCCCCCCCCGCCCCGGGGTGCATCCTTCCACCCCGATGTACCAAATGGCCACTTACTAAACACAGGCTGAGGTTTGAGAAGGGAAGACCTTTACCTCAGGAAGCCCGGGACTTAAATCCCTGAGAAATACCAGAGGTAAGCTGGGCCTGGGGCTGCGTGAGGAAGACTAGAGACAGGAAGCAGAAGCCTGCTGATGGAAGAGAGGGGCACAGGGCACTGCACCAGGTAACAAAGACAACTGAAGTAAGTCCACCGCTGTTCCCAGGCTGCGGTCACTAAGAATGTGAGCAGATGCCCAGGGTTACCATCTTACGGTGAAGGCAGAAGTAGCCCTCTACCTTTATCTCAGGTACATGAACATTTTCCTCAACCCCCACATGGGCAAGCAAAAAATGCCCTGGTCTGCGTTCAGCAGTTTGCCTCGGCCCTGTCTGCTAAAACCCTTTCAGCCTGAGGGGTTGAGTTCCTTGGGCTTTGCAACCCTGGGGCGCACTGGAAGAAGGGAGCACTGTCTAGGCCGCACCTAGAGCAACATGGGGCTGGTCTCCAGCCTCCTTTCCCAAGGACTGCCAAGGAGACCTCAGACCGCTTCCCTGTGGGAGGTTTGAGTCTCTGACCTGGGGCTAGTGGGGGATAAATCTAGGAAGAAATAGAGTGGAGAGACAAGACCACTGTAAGTAACCAAGAAATAGGAAAAAGACCTGGAGAAGTTGAGTCCTCTCGATGCTGGCTGAGTCCAGAAGCAAGTTCACAATGAAGTGAACTTTTTAATTAATAATTGTACATATTTATCATGTACCATATAACATTTTCAAATATGTAGACATTACAGAATAGCTAAGTCAATCCAGCAAGCATATATACACATTATGAACAAAACTAATCTTTAAATAGTAATGACTACAATAAATAAGACCTCAAACCTAAGGATATAAACTGGTCATGAATATTTTATCATTTTGAGGGGGTACTGGGTATTAAATCCAAGGGTTCTTTACCACTAAGGTACATCTTCAGTCCTTTTTAATTTTTATTTTGAGACAGGGTCTTGCTAGGTTGCTAAGGGTGACCTTGAACTTGCATACTTCCTGCCTCAGCCTCCCAAGTGACTGGGATTACAGATACAATTACACGTACAGATTACATTCCACAATGCCCTTAGAAACAATTTTTTAAAAACGTGATCATGGATAGGGCATATTTCCCTATAGTAAAATCCTTAATCTGTTTGAAATTTTTCATTAAAATATTGGACACATGTTATAGGACACATGAATAGGGTGGCACATAGGCAATGTCTTCATTTGGGTATATTAAAATGTTCAGATCAGAGCATTATGAGTCACTCTCCAGCTCTTATCAAACAATCCTTCACCTACTTAAGTGGTTGATAAAAATCCTTCTGATCCACCTCATAGTACTTCTCCAATCCATCCTCCTCTTGCCACCTCCTCTGCCACCAAGTGGTCCCAGTCACCAGCTCCTCTTCTTCTGTCTTGGTGCCCTGACCATCTACATTCACGTCTCCTTCTGTCCACTTCTGATCTGATCTCCATTCCACAATCAGAGTCATCTTTTAAAAACACACCCCTGCCTTAAACCCTTTCTAGCTCTCTTTTACTCTTAGTTCATCATATAAAACAAAACAAACAAACAAACAAAATACTGAAAACTTCCATGCTTGGTTGACCCTTATTAAGTCAATGTAAACTTGCATATTAATTATAAGTAAATATTAGACACCACAACCATTGCTGTAACTTTGAAATACTCAATAGCTCAAAGAATACTTTTAAGTGTGCCATATTATTTTTGTTATGTGATGTTTTAAGTCCAAGAAATGGAGCTCTCAGTAATGCTAATATAACAGATGAACTTCTATCTCAATGGATACCTTACGGGGAAGATTATGGGTAAATTTGAACATTCAGTGCTGAGGACACTGATATGATTTCAAAAGTTCTAGGGATCCATACATACCAGCAGAGGGAAACTCCACAATAAAGCAGTAGAAGCATAAAAAAAAAAAAAAAAAAACAATGAGAGCCTGTAGAACTGATTCAGAATATGAGACAATGGTTCTACTTACTAAAGAAACATCATTTTAGAGAATCATGGATTTTAAGGAAGCAAGAGACCTTCCAGGGTCTACCCTGTCATTCTACAGCCACAGCCACTAAGAACCAGCATGGTGGTCAACACCATGACCGTGACTAATTCAGCTGCTTTCAGACATAGTTTCATTTTGTTTTGCTTCTAATGCAAATATCTCTAGAATGAAGGCCCTCCTACTTAAGAAAAGTATAAGTATTTCACAAAGAATGATATTATTCCAAAGCAGCACGGTTTATGTGCTTCTTGGAATTACCACATATCTGAGTGACTTTAAGAAAATTTGTAAGGAAGACAGTTAAAAGAGCAGGACATAGTAAAAATAAGTGTCCTTGGTGGGAGGGTCCATGATGGATACTCCATACATACCCGTGGCGGCCAGGAGAGTGTGGTTGATACGTGGGTTTGAGAGTGAGGACACTGGGGCCTATTTTAAACATGACTGGGAGGAATGGCCAGTTTAGACGCTCCGCATTCCTACAGACTCTCTTCCACTTAAAGACCTCCGTCTGGCTGGGAGCTGGGCAGGAAGAGTTCCATAATAAAGAGCCTCCCATTTACGCGGGCCTCAAAGTGTCACACTTGCCACTGTGTCTACATTCTCCTTCACTCAGGAAACATTTTTACACATCGTGAAAAGGTGATAAGTATAAGAGTTTTATTATTTCCATGTCCCTCTGAATAACTTCATAATCTTAACTTTTTACTAACCCTTTAAAATTCATGGAAAGAGTTAACCTCCTGCCAGCCCTGGGCCTGGTTGGCAGGCATTTCATCTTTATTTATGTTCAAGCAAAAGAGCAATAATAAGTAACCAGACTATCTAAGCATTTGAAACATTTGATGCTCATTCCAAACAAGTTTTGAACACAGTCTACAAATGTGAGCATCTGTCCCCAAAAGATCAACAATCTGAAAAGCTGGGCTTGCCGATGAGTCTTCTCTGAAACGGAAAGGAAAAGCAGCTAAGTTGCGTTTGGTCCTCCTTACCTTGGCATTGAGATTCAACCCAGAAGTTGATCTTTTGTCTGGACTGTTCAGTGTCTTTCCGGAAATCAACACTTTCAATCGTCGTGTGGTAAAATTGAATCACACCATCTAAGTACTCCTGTGCATTTGGAATAGAGGGGAAAGAGCACAATAAAATCATGTGGAGATGCACAAGCTTAGAGGGAGGCAGTCACGGGAAGCCTAAGGGAAAAGATGTCCTCCTGGTCACCTAACGCTGGGGGAGCAGGCCTGTCGGGCTCTCTCTACCCCAGACCTGGTTAGCCACCATGGCAGAACAGGACACAACGCTCATGAAGCTGTCTGAAGTTACAATGGCAGATGGCTTTCCTGCCAGACAGTGTTTTATCTGAATAATCCACATGTGGAGACATCACAAAGTAAATATAGAGTAACTTAAGAGGCTTAGCTGTAAAATGCTTCAGTTTTTAAGAATTAAAGTCCTCCTTAATGCCCACAGAGTTTTCATTTAGGGTAATAAGAAAGTTTCCAAAGTCTATAGGGTAATGGCTACACAATACTGTGAATGGAACTAAGGCCACTGAATGGTGCACTTAAAAAATGGTTAAAATGGCAAATTTTGTGCTACGTGTATTTTTACTGTAATTTTTAAATGAACAATGTAATATACCAAAACTGTTGATTTGTATACTTTTAATGGATGAATTGTATCATATCTGAATTTATATCCCCAAAATTTACTTTTTAAGGAATAACCGGTCATTCCCACTGTAAAAGAACGCACTTGTTTTGGTCAAAAGTAGGCTCTCTCCTTCCCTCTGTAGTCCAGCTCTAAACAGCTGTGACACTCATGTGCCACCGGTCACATCCCTCTTGTCTGGGCTTAGTATGTGGCTCCTCCTGGAGACTGGAGGGCAACCAGAGCCCGAGCTGAGATACATTCTGCCAAGTAGAAGCTGCTGAGTCACTGAGACCAGATCCACGGCTCTGGCTCCCAGCACGTCACTTCCACTGGGGCCGCCTGATCATGGCACCAAAGGGGACTCTACAGAAGTGCCTTGAAGGCAGCCCAAATCTACCAGGCCCCTGGATTGGGAAAGAAGGTCACTAGAAGGTCATTACCAAGCCCACGCACACTCCCGAGGCCGCTGTGCACATGACCCTTTGGCCACCCCCTCTGCGCACTGACAACAGACCTTGTAAACTTGAGTTGAGAGGTGGGTGTGGGACAGGAGGCGGTGGACCTGGACACCCCACCAGTCCACAGCACATCCTCCCACGAGAGAGCTCTGTGTGCCCGGTGGCAGGTGAACTATCCAGCTTCTGGCTTTTCAAGCAGCACACTCTGTGATGGCTTTCATCCCCGTCGCGCTCTACTCACCGGGCAGATGGGGTATTCCTGCTCTCCATAGAGCCTGTTGGCCATGCTCATGGTGTAGTGAACCTTGACCCTGCCTAACTTGGAGAGAAGATTTCCGAAGTAGCAGCTGAGCAGCTCGTTCTTATCACTGGAGGACTTGGCCTAACAAAAGAAGAGACAAATCACGACCTCAAGCGGGACTCTCAGGAGAGCCGAACTCCCCTGAAGGACGGGTATTGTCACAGAGACCAGTCAGAGTTGCTGGGTGTTCTCTGAGGTGAAGAAGAGAGAAAGGAGGTGAGAGGGGTCCCGGGGAACCCTGGCTCCCACAGTGGAGTCAAGATCACTCAGGAAAAGTGGGTCTAGGACCCAGCGACGCACAGGGGCACCCTGGCTCCCTCAGTATTCAAAAGGACACAAAAAAATCCAATTGTCTTCCACCTCCTAAATTTCGAGGTAGGGAGAGCCTGGAGAATGTCCTTCCTACCCCTGGGCTGAGCTGACCACGGCAGCATTGTGTGTCAAGGCATCTCTCAGCACCAAACAGAGCTGCAGAGGTGGAGGGAGGCAGATGCCACTGCACCTTGACCCCTGGCTCCCCTCCACCTTCAGCCACACTCCATCCTGGGAGCCTGTGGTCTGCGGAGGCAGGCGGGTAATGGGGATGTGGGCTAAGTGACTTTTTTTTTTTTTTAAATCCTGAGCAGAAGATACCAGGTCTTACTCATTAAGAAGCTAACTTAGGGCCAAGGATGTATCAAAAGCCTAATTACAAAGGAATCATAGGTCACACGAGGTTATTGCCGTTCACAGCAGCCAGGACTCATGTCTGGGGATGAGTAACCCTCTCCAGTTGCAGTCGAGGACCAGCAGTCTGCAAAGAAGAGGGCAGGAGTTCCGGGCGGCAGCTCACCTGCACATCCAGAGGCTCCGTGGTTTCTTTCTGCCCTTCCAGGGAACTGTCAACCTCTGCGGCTTTTTTGCTTTTCAAACAGGGGTCAGGTTCTTTGCTTTCACTCTGGGAAAGTTCATTGAAGTGTAGTACCTGCGTGATGACGGGGGAGGGTCTTTCAGACAATATGAACAGGAGGAAGCACCAAGAGAGAGCTTCAGTCACATTTTTATAATGTGACAAGTAACAATGATTATGCAGTCGAACGAAATAATCAACCATCTTTCACAGAAATGAAGGCTTCTTTCCTTAGATCTGGGGTTGAATGTTCCCTCTGTCCAGGATAGCATTTAGGGACTTAAAGGGCTCTCGGGCTGCTGTGTTGAGAAGAGATGGCCCATGGGAACAGCTTCAGGAGACTGTCCATAGTGCCATGTTAGAAGAGATGGTGAGGTTCAGGCCTCCGGGAGATGGCAAGAAGCATCTGGATTCTGGTTATATTTGGAAAGAAAAGTCAACAGAATCTTCTGACCCACATGGTGTGAATGAGAGAGAGAAAGAAGGGCTAAGGAGGACACTGAGAACGTGAGCTGCTGGACAAATACCTGGTGCTTAATACAGATTTAGTTAATGGAATAAGCAAGAGAGAAAGCACGCATATTAAAAATCACCAGCTAACACTGTTACCGATAATTATAGAGAGACAGACTTGTAGACAGAGATAGAGACAAAGAAGATGAGTGGGAAAAGCTGTCTGCTGGGGGGAGGCTCCATAAGGAGATGGAGTTAGAACCTTGAAGACGGGTAGAATTGAAGAGAAGATGAGGACTCAAGCAAGCCCACTGTGCCGTGGATCAGCTGACTTTGAATGTGCACCGGGAGTCCAGGACCCCATGCAGCACCTTCATGGATACACACCTCATCAATCTGACGAGCACTGTCATTTCTAGCCCCCAGGCGGACCATGCCCAGGGCGGCTGAGAGGCTCAGAGGACAGTAAAAGATATTTTTTTGACTCTCATCTTTGATTATCTCTCGGAAAAGATCCAAGGAAAATTTGGTATTTGCTTCAATCAGAGACTCCATTGTAAAACTGACAACTGCCTAAAACAAAAAAAGAGAGAGAGAGAGAAAAAGTGGTGATTGGAGAACACAGGCAAATAGACAAACGAATCATTCTTATTTTTAATACTCAAGATAAAATCGTAGACAATTATTCAATGTGTGATTAATAATTAATAAATAATAATTAATAAACTGGAAAACTAAGGTCACTCATCATTATATATCCAAACAATGGTGCCAGTATTGTATCCATAGAGAAAGAAATCTATTTTTGTTCAGTGGTATGGATTAGTTTCCCAGAGCTGCCTTACAAGTTACCACAACTGAGTGCCTTAAACAGCACGAGTTTATTCTCCTGCAGTTCTGGCAGATAGATGTCCAAAATCAAGGTGTTGGCAGAATCAGTTCTTTCTGGACACTCTCAGGGAACATCTTCTCTTCCAGCTTCTGGTGGCTGCCAGCAACCTTGACATTTCTTGGCTTATAGACACATCACTCCAATCTCTGCCTCCATCTGCACATGATGCCCTTGACTATATGTGTGTGTGTGTGAGAGTGAGTGAGTGTGTGCCCAAATTTCCCCTTTATAGACACCAGTCATTGGATTAGAGGCCTAAATCAGTATAACCTCATTTAATTTAGTCCTCCGTGACCCTGTTTTATTAAGTTCACACTCACAGCTGCAGAGATTAGGACTTAAACAGATCTTTTGGTGACACAACAATGCTACTCATTTCTTTGGGGAGCCTCCTTTATTCAGGTACAGTATGGTCAAAGGTTGCCATTCCCCACCATCAAATCAGCAGCCAAGAAGACCCCGTGCTACCTCCTCCTCTTCCTCCACAGGCTGTGCCTGTTTCTGCTTAAGTCTTTTGCCTCCTCCCCTCAGTGGTCTGTGCCTGTGGATTTGCCCGGGAAACAGTCCCGGGTCATGACCCTGGCCAGCATTCTTACCTCCATTGACTCATTGCATATGCAGCCTCCAGAACTGGAGGCACTTGAGCAGTCATTAAATTGTTCAAGGGGAAACAGATCTTCAAAGGTCTTGAGTGTATAGAAGTCAATTCTTTCAACATCCTTTTCAAGAGAGTGACTTTCCTCGGAATAGATTTCTGGTCCCTGACCCCAAGCTACTCTAGAAGTAGCAAGAAAGTCCCCTGGAGATCTTACCTTGGACCTGTGGCTTGTGAATTAAATGTCTTTTCTTTGGTCTCTTTGCTTATGGAGAGTGCGTATTTCCAAGATGAAAACATATGCCCCTTAATTTGCAGATTTGTCATTAGGTGTGTGCCACACAGTAAGCATGAAATAAGTTAGTTTACTGAGCTGAACAGTACACTTTAACATTTTTCCAGTTTAATATATGTTTTTATAACCAATAAATTCTAATTTAAAAACATAATCTTAGACAACTTTTTTTTAAATTTATACCTGATATATGATCTGAATAGTTTACATATATTAGCTTTAACCCCACATTTCTGCAGGGTGGATATTATAGCTCCCCTTTGACAAGATGAGAAAACTGAAGAATCAAATCACATATATACTTAATCCCAAACTAACTACTCTTCCTACTATATCCATTATGGCTACAATACCTGCTCTCAGCTTAGGATAAGCTGGTCCTACATACCCCCACACCTAGTCACATTTTCCCTCCTTGATCAGTTTCGTCTATCTTTATCCTTAAATTCTTTCTACCAGATGTGTACTTGCTTTGAATTTCCAATTTTGTGCCTGGGAAGCTAGATTTGAGATAGGCTCTGTATTTTAAAACAATCTGTGGGTAATTATAGGTCATCTTTTTTCAGGAGCCATCTGCCCTAACAGGTGGGTGGTTTTCAGGTAATGTGCACCCTGGGTGCGTCTGGCAATTCAGTTTGCTTCTTACACTGGAAAGTCACCTTTGCATTTGTTGGGAAATAACTTCACATCCAACACATTTTCTCTACAGCATGGTTCATATGGCCCACTTAGTAGCCACAGGTCTACCAAGGAAGTAAAGAAAACAAATACATTAAAGACAGTCATGGGTGAGGGGATTCTACCGGCTTTGGTTTTCATAAAACTTTATAGAAAAGGCAGTCTAATATTTTTAAAGCTGTGGTTGTAGGACCGAGGCTGATATTTGATGAAAATCTTCAGCATCAAGAGAGGAGAAGGTAAGGGCCACCCTGGCTATTTGTCCACAGAGGCTGGCAATTTTGAAGGAAAGAAGGGTGTGCATGCAGACAGAATGGTCCTGACAAGCATCTGTAAGCTCCAGCTCAACTTTGCCTTCGCTCCTTTCTGTGGATGTGCCCCTGGCACAGAGGGGAGAGTGTTTCTCTCTGGCATGAGTGCCTCCAGAACAGAGTGACCCGCATCTCACGTACTTCAGAAAGGGCATGGCTGCTTGTGGGCCTACTCCCTTCTTCTCAAGATACACAAAACTGAAGCCAGGTGAAGTGAAGTGATTTGCACACCTCTGCGGCAGGCCAGAAGAAAGCTAAGATCTCTCGGTGCCTGGCCTGCTCTCCTGGTTTAGGCACTTTGTTTCTAATTCTTGCAGTATCCTTACTCACTCTGAGAGCCGCAGAACACCTCCAAATTCTGCATGTTTCTACCTAAAACTTCTACAAATTTGTAAACTACTTTTCATGAGTCTCCTGAGATGGACGGCAGCTATTATGATGTTGTCACCCCAGCCAAGTCTCCTTTTCTGAGAGTCACCTGGCTACACACCACAGACCAGCTCTAAGCTTCCATGGGAGGTGTGTGCTGCCTTCACACTGCCTGACCCACCAAAAAAAGGTGAGAAAGACAATTGGTAGAAAAATGACTGAAAGAAACCACCCGAACATCGCAGTAACTATTACCTGACTGGATGTGCACACGTATAGTAGCCAGATCCTTCCTGGCTTCATACAAGTTTAAAAGGTGAGAGGTGGGAAGATCATTTAATAACTTGATTAAAATATCATCTCATAACCATCTTCTGATGGATTGTTTGTCTTGGGGATTCGTTTTTAAATTAGGAACTGTCTAAATCTTACAGCAACCTAACTCTCGAATGATCATGCATAAAATTCTCTCACTGGGTGAGTCCCTGTGTAAAAAAAAAAGATAAGCGGATGAGATGCGGTTTCTGACTTTAAGAAATCCATGATCTAACAGAGCAGGAAAAGTCCCAGAATTGGCAAAACTCATCTGCAGCCTTGGCAGTCAGGAGGGTGGTTGTCTTTGGGGGGTGGTTAGCCACATAAGAACCGTGAGGGACTATTAGTAAACTGACGCCCCACAAATAACAAACAAAAAGCAAAACCCCATGACTTCTAGAGCTTGCCATTTCCGAGGTGTAAATATTGTCACTATGGTCAATTTCTTTCTTTCTTTCTTTTTTTTTTTTTTTGTATTTATCATCATTTTTTTCCTCGTGATGATTTAGAAGGTCAAAAGTATTCCTTTTTATTTAATATAACAAAATACATTTCAGCTGAGGGCTAAAATAACATGGTCAATATGGCATTATGTAAAAATGTGGATGTGTAACCGATATGGTCAATTTCCACTAGCAAATAAACAGAAAAAAAAATAAAACCTATAAAACATCCCCATACCCATAGTTGGGAAAAGATGAACAGAACCTGCCCTGGTGGGCCTGCAGGGGCCAACTCAAGGACATCAGGCCTGAGCACGTGTCCTGTCTGGGTCTGGGCCACACAGGAAATGTACACTTGTGTCCTATGCACTTGTGTGTGCCCACGTGATCACTTGGTTTCACTTCAGATCTGCCTTCCTGTTTGTCCTTTCAATGCCTATACAATTAGATCGCTCTATCTAAATTTTTAAAACTGATACCTTCTTGTTGGGCATTTTTATTAGTTTCCGATTTTCCCTATTGTGAATTGTACAAGGAACATCTTAATAAGTACAGACAGCTTCTATCTTCATTCACATTATTTCTTCAGGATACCGTCAACGTGGAATTTCTGGGTTAAATATTAAAAGACTGGTTGACTTGCACACTCTGAAGCCAAGCTTACACATGAAGCAGCTGCTTCATTGTCTCACCATCTTCAGGTAATGGCATTATTATTTTTGATAACTTAAAAGTAAGAAAAAAAGAGAAAGTTGTATTTTTTTAATCTGCATTTCATTGATACTCACTAACATTTGAACATTTGGCCATGTATTCTTTTCTATTTATATATTCTGTTAAGTGTCCCTCATTATACTCCTTTTTTTAAATTATCTATTAGAGTCATGATCATTTACTCATTTACTTTTCATGTTATATACACATTTTGTTTCTAAGGATTGTTTTACACATATTATCCCTAGATGCTATGGCTTCTTTGTTTCCTAGTGTTGTTTTAGAATTATTTTTACTTTTATTTACTTTGGTTTTATCCTCCATCACTTCAAAACTTTGAAAACAAAGTGTTTTGATTTTAATATTAAAACTCCATCTAGTTCCAATTTTTATAAGAAAAGTTGGAAAGTGTTATCTAAAGTTCTTAGTTTTAAAAATTTCTAATATTTAGTTATCTTAAATTTGTAACAATTTTCCTTTATTTTTTTTCTTTTTGATGTTTTGTCCGTTTATCTGCTAGTTGTTTTGCAGTGCTGGGGTTTTGCAGGGCCTGGAGCATGTTGGGAAAGCTCTCTACTACTAAGCCATACCCCCAGCCCATTTTAATGGGTTCTAAGGAATCCACACACATTCTCCTTTGGTTGATTCTTTGTTTTCTGGCTTAATTACTCACGTGACTTTTCTCCACTTTTTCCTCCCACTGCTGTGTATTTAATAACCACACTATATTTATGTTACTCTTTCTTTCCTTATTATTCTGTAATGTACCTATTTTTTATGTTTCTTTCGTTACTTATAAAACATAATGCTTGAGTGTAAGTTCAATTTTTTTATTCATCTTTGTATCTCATCAGTAAATAAAACAATTATAGCACATAGGAGCATTTCTTTATTATTTAAGGGTTGATTTACTATTATCCACCCCTTTTTCATTGTAGAAAATCTAATGTCATATTAGATGATATTATTCAAACATTATACATTCTGCAGGCAGCTGTAATAGAGATGCTGCATGGTGGAATTAGTTTTTTATTAATTTTCTACTCTATTAGAATAGTCCTTTTAATTAAAATATTACTTCCTTTATAGTGAAAATTAAAAGTTTAGACTAGATAGATGTTCTAACAACCAAATATATTCTAAGTGAAATTGTTCTTTCTACATGCAGCAGGAAGAAAAACTTTTATATTCCAAAAATATTTCTGGGCTTATAATTTCCACAAAACTACTAATAATCCAAGAATGAAATTCCAATTTTACCCAGGTAAAATTCCAATTTTACCCATGCTGTTCTACTGGAATAAATAAAACCAGATTATAACAAATTAAATAATAAACAATATCTAAAAACAAGGAAATACTTATGACAGATTCAATCTAAAGTGTTTTCCAAACTACAGGAAAGAAGCATCTAAACTCACATTACTTACAATATGGATAACCTAAATACCATTCCATTTTTTATTGCAGAAATAATTCATTAAAAGATGAAATACAACCTGTCAAGTATATGAAGGCAAAAAAAAAGTTAGTCAAACATTCACATTGTTTTAAAAAATTAATCAGATACATTGACTGTCTGACCAGATGGTTGGAGGCTGAGAAAGATGATTGATCATCCAGGGAGTATTGCCACACCTGCAGAAAATTCAAAACCATCATAACATAAACTTTTTTAAAGGCTTAATAAAAATAACCTATAATTCAACTTTAATCATATGTCCTTTTGGTTTCTATTATTTTAGACAATCTTCCAATGCAGTGTTCATATTGAAAACCATACCAGGCAATGTGAGAATTTACCTTCTTGCCTTCGGAGTTGCTGCTGACAGCTGGCCAGGTAAGTTTCCATCCACACCCTGTCAGGGATGGGAATTTATCAGCTCAGCTCCTCCCACAGTGGCACTTTTCCATGTGTCATTAATCTAGGGTAAATTTGTAATTGATTGATTAAAGGGAAGAGAAAATTGTGGCAGGTACTTTTAAAAACAAATTTGCATTCTTGATTCTTTCAATTAAATTAAATATTTAACCTGGTATGCTTATATTTTCTTTGCTCTTTCCAAGTGGGTCTTTTCATAGAGCCCTCAAAGTAGCCCTCAACCCACATTTTTCTCCCCAAATCTCTATTCTAGATTTTAAAAATGAAGACGAATGGAGATCTATTTTACTTCATATACTTATTCCATGGATGATCTCTTATATTTGAATGTTTATTATTCTAAAATTTTTATGTACAACTTCTATAATATGGACTTGAAAACATGTTTTCAGCTATTTTCAGTTGTTGCTGTGGTTGTTGTTTTCCCTGCAGCAGTGTTGGGGTGGCGGAGGGCATTACTATCCATCTACCAGAATAACTGGATACCAATCAAAGCACAGAAACTACCTCCATATGCTGAAAACCAAAGAACTGGTCTAGATGTCTCTAGAAAAGCTGCCAATTTAGCCTCCTGAGGCCTATGACCTGCCTACCTATTTTTCTTATTTGTTTCACCAAGAGTTTTAAGGCCCAAGACACCCCAACATTTTTTTCCTTAAACTTCTGAAAAACCTTTCATAGGAGAAACATGTTCAGCCACTGTGGGAGGGGGAGTTTTTAAACAAAGCCAATAAGATTCTGATGTTATCTGTTGTCCTAACCCACTAGGATCCTGATATGCCTGAGCACTTGGGGTCAGTTACAAAGGCTATAACAACTTGGAGGTATCTGAGGAGAGCCAGAACTCTGGGAATTTATTGATGTGAGGATTCCTCCCTGGCTTGATGTCCTCTCTAACCCATGCATATTTCTTTTCTAACTTATTGTCACATAACAATGTCATCTGAGTGTAGTCTCACAAATATGAGGATATTAGATATAAGGAAATTCAAAAGAAAAAACTCTAAAAATGGAATGTTGCCTTTATGGAGAATAAAAATGACTTAAGTACCTAAATCACAAATGAATAAGTTAAAAACTTATTTTTTATAAAATAAGATATTGACCAATGGAAATTAGTGCCTACACATCAAGAGGTTTTCTCAAGTCTCAACAGTAAGCAAAGAAAACAGCTCTGCTATTTGTTGTCCTCATTCCATGACCACTGGGAAACGCTTGTGTGTTTTTACTCTAAACGCTTCCACAAAATTCTAAACACCAGTCTCACCATTGGTCACGATTTGCAAAATGTTAGAAAATTTCAGCATGCAAAGCAGTCAGTTCCTCATGCCAGTTGCTCACTAACTACTTCATGCAGTCATGGCCTATCATAGCCTTTCTGAAAAGGGTACTATTTACAGGTAGAGCAGGATGATTTTGCCTGGCCACCTGGATTTACAATTGTCACATTTGTTATTGATGGCTGTTGATATAACAAATTGCACTGGGTACCTGAGCAGATTCAAAGCCTGTCTGATTATCTTTAATCTAGGATTGCATCTGATTATCCTCTCAATCCAACCAAGATCTAACTATGGATGACTGTGCCCTACAATCCTAAAAATTTGGCGTGGTGTGATTGCTCAACCAGTGATGGTAATATCTGTCAACTCCATGTAACTACATGTGAAGGAAACTTGATAAATCACTAAAGAGGGAATGAGCACTTATTGAGCACTTCATATGCCAGTTAGGACATAAAATCTCATTCAAGATTGGTGAATGAAAGTCAATCTCTTCAATGTTGGTGACTTCAGAGAATTACACTTCAGTTTGAAGACATTTTGGAGGTCAACCAGCCTGACATTGCTAGCCAAGACAGTCTGGAAAATGCTTCTGTGTCAATAGACCATAAAAATGGTGTCTGTTCAACCAAGTGTAGACTTATATGATTCCTCCTAGATGTTACAACTCATCTTGAGTTGTAGCCAATCAATTAGCCTTTCAGTGACTAGACTTTTTCTACCTGGAATAAAAAATCCAGCAATGCCAGAATGACTCACCAGCCAACATCTTTGCCAGCTTCTGATGCAACACCATGTGATTAAAAGACTCCTGTTGGTAAAAGCAGTATTTTTTAAATATCGTGAAGAAAATGTTTGCAACTAATTTTACAATCTCAATACTGAAGAAACAAAATGTTTATAAGAAAAACATCAGCACGCTTTTTATCTAGTGAAAATGTATCTTTATCTGAAATAGATGGTTTACTGACATCCATGATTTTATACTCCAAACTTCAAAGTCTGATTACAAAAAAAATCCAAAATTAGAGGGAAAAAATCCATTAAGACAACAAATAGCAATAATAAAGACAGTAAGCAAAGAAAACAAGTGTGCTATTCATTGTCTTCACTCCATGACCACTCGGAAACGCTTGTGTGTTTTTACACACAAAATACACATACACACACACACACAAAAAAAGAAACTTGTTTTAAAACTTATAGTCACCCTTGAGATATCACCCTTCCTGTAAAAGCCCTCAGTTCTTTCAGAACAAAACTAAAGCTTCCAAGATTGGAAATAATGCCAACTGCCAACTCGAATACAACAGAGGCATGGGACACAGAGACAGGCAGAGCAACAAGACAGCAGAGGACACAGCACAGGAAGAACAGAACATGGACAACCAGGGACCCAGATCTCGAGTCCCTCTAGCCTGAGACCTAAAGCAATTGCCTCATTCATTAAAAAATAAATAGAAATAATAGTAGCTGTTTCTGCTCTGTATTGAAATATAACTGCATAGAATTTGTACTGTATTAACTTTTGTTTCCTACCCATCTTTATGAAATATATTTATTTCTTTCTCAAATTGTAAATCAGGCTTCATCCTTCAAAAAAGTGTTCACAAATTAGAGCTGCTGGGGCCAAATTTAACCCATTGCCTGTTTTCTTCAATAAAGTTTTATTGGAAAGCAGCATATTGTTCACCTGCTGCTACCTGTGGCTGCTTTAGCTCTACAACAAGAGTTCAACAGTTGTGAAGAAACATGGCCGACAGAGCAGAAAACACTCCTTGGTCCTCTGCTGAAGTTTGCGGATCCATGCTTTAAGTGATGAAACATCATGATTTTTAAAGACTATGAAGTTTTTATACCCTTAAATATACAACCATTCCTTACACAAAACTAATGTGTGATACACTGATAAGAAATACACTAAGACATTTTTAATTTCTTAAATTAAAAATATGTGCTTAGGTTTTATGTTAACCCAAGATTCTAATCCCCTACTGTATTGCAACAAAATTGTGGAACGCCCATACATCAGGTGCTCACTCTGGTGCACAATGAACAAAAGCACATGTTGTCCCCCACACTCATGACATCTAGTGCAATAGGAGTTTGCAATCCAGGCTCTATTACCTGCATCTAGATATAATAAGCATTTATTGAGGACCAAAGATGTGCAGGCCCTTTCAAACCTATTATCTCATTCAGTTTTTCCATTGAGGCAGAATGGGAGACATCATTATTCCAGTGTGATTAATGAGAAAACTAGGATTCAGAGGAGCAGGGTTGTTTAGTTGTGACCCTAGAAAGTAATAGAATGATCAATAATTTGACCAACCCCTCCCCTAACTCTCTGATCCCAATGATAAAGATGTGCAACACCTAGGGATTCAAGAACACGACAACTGACTCCAAAAGCCCTGGCCATCCACAGCAGCTTGTCCATCTCTCAGCACACACCAAAAAGCCAGAGAGTGCAGTCCCAGCTAAGGTCTGAACTCTGATGCAGCCAGGAGGAAACAGCCAACAGTAAGGAGAGGTGCTGAGCAAGCAGTTCTGTGACATTGAAGATCATGAATCAGGATCTTTTCAAGCCGACCTGCCGCTACTTATTTTCAGGATGCAGCAATGAGGAGCTAGAGCCTTCAATAAGCAGCTGCTAAGAAGCCTGAGCATCTCTTTTCCTTGTTCTCCCTAAATGACTTACAGAGCCCTTCAAGTGCTGAGCTATACCATGAGTTCCTCATCCATAAATGGGATAGATGGCATTCGGGAGGAGGGTTTTCATGTCCCTTCCCAGTGCGCGCGCACACACACACACACACACACACACACACACACACACACCCGTGAATGAACAGAGCAGGGACAGGGCTGTGGGTTCTGGGCCAAGCATGAGACTGCACTTCCCAGGCACAGTGGACTTGTCCCCCAGTTTCTGTTCCCTGCTCATCATGGCCACAGCTCCACGGCAACCAGGACAATTCCCTGAGCATCCTCACCATCCATTCTTATCCTTCTGGCATCTCAGTCTTTACTAACAAATACAGAACATCTCCCCCTCCTTCCCTGCTCTCCTGGTTCCTTCTCTTCATCTTGGTCTTCCTCAGCTCCGCCATGCCCTACCCCTGGGTTCCAGTACATCCCTTTCTCCCCTGTCTCTCCCTCCCTCGGCAAGGCCATTTCAGATGGACTGACTCACCTGCATGGCTTACCAGTTGTTAGCCATCGTCGTGAAACATCAGCTCTTGTCCAAAACATGGTGAATGTTGTGTTAAGGAAAATAACACATCCTCTAAGGGGCGGGGGGGTGAAGCTATTGAGAGGTCCTTCGGTGTGATTTGCTGTCTTGGATTTTTACAGAAGGCTCTTCCTCATTAACTAATTTCAGCACAGCTCTCTCCAGGTATCTGGAAACGCATCCTAGGCCATGACCCAGTGAGGATTGTCCTCTGGGAAGCACACACTGTAGTTATATAAAAAAAATTCAGACCACACTCCATTCCATGAGAAAACTCACGGGTCTATGGGGTGTTAAAGTTGTAACTGCCTAACCTCGACGATCCAAAAGCACATGGAGTATCATGTGACTTGCAAATAAGGAATGGCATTCCAACCAGCCAGATTTAATCCATAGAATAATAATATGATTTAGAATA